TTTTTTTTTTTTTTAAGTTTATGAGAAGTCCAAGGCATGCCTGGATTAGAAGATTCCTAGTTATCTTCAGAAACGCCCATTTCTCCATTTCTTAGTCCACTTCCCTTTAGGCTGGCTTTATTTATTTATTTGTGGTAGTTTCTTTTTTCTTTCTAATAATTTATTGTGTTGTTGTTGCTGAAAATAACCTACACAGCGGAACATAACCAACTGGACCATTTCCGCCCGTGCCATTGGGTGACAGGACGACATCCCTCCATGTGCAGCCCTCACCCTCCTTCCGAGCTGTTCCTGCCCCGTTGACGCAGACGCCCTGCCCCTGAGCTTCGCAGCTAACCTTTCAGGTTGCTGCCAACTTGATCCCATGTAGATGGGTCTGGAAGGAGCCTAATGCTTTCCTAGTTAAGCTGAGCCACTATTTGGTTTGAAGACAACTTCAGGGGATGTTTTTGGTTTAAAGCTTAAAGATTGTCTCAGGGCAATGGTTCGTCCAGCCTGGTTTTCATCATTTTTAAAGAAACCTTCATACATTCTTAACATCCCTATTGAACAAAGCTGGCCCTCTCCATGACAGAGGCCATTGTTGTGGCCACTGCTGGTGTGCGCCTGTCCATCCCGCCCTCCACCCTCCAGACTGGTGGTGGAGCCGACACTGGATGGTCCCAGATTCCTAAACACTCCTGTCCGCGTGGGAGTGGTACCGTCCACCCACTGAGCGGGCCTCCGGGCAGCAACCCTTGCCCCCGTCTCCTGATCCCCTCGGAGCCAGAGCACGGCACGCAGTTCTTTGCAGGTAAAGCGGGGAAGCTTCAGTGTGGCAGCTTGGTTTGGTGCAGGTTCCAGCTGTAACGTGTGTTCTGAGACGTTGGATCTGGCCGGCAAATGAGTTCTACAAAAGGCGTGTATCTGCTTAACACTATTAGGAAAACGCCGTGGTCAGGTAGCATCAGGAAAGAGGAAACGGCTTCAACTTCTGAACATTGTGTCTGTGATTCCTGTAACAAGGAACAAACCAAAACATGGTCTCTATGGTCAGCATGTAAGTGTCAGCTGGAAGTAACTTAGGAAAAGTCTGGCCTTTCCTGGCAAAGTCATTTCACTGCTTAGTGCAGTCGGTGACATCAACGTCTGGCCAGCATGGTTGCTCACGGAACTCACCCTCTGAAGTTCAGAATTACTTTACCCACCCATCCGTGTTCTTGGATCCTCTCTTTCTTTCTTTGCGTAAGTCTTTGTTGAAAAACGACACTGCTGCTTATAAAGGGGCATGGTGGGGCGGGGGCTTCCAGGGGAAACCAAGCAAACTCCTCTTCCGTGTTCATTCTTTTGAGGAATCTGGGCCAGCTACAAACTGCATGTCCCTGATGTGGCCTGTTTCTGGTTGTCACAGGGCCCCGTGAAGCATGTGTACAGAGTCCTGCAGTGCCAAGAGGAGGAGCTCACACAGATGGTCTCCACTATGTCCGATGGTTGGAAATTTGAACAGGTACATCCCTTAAACAGTAGCAACCTCAACATCTCGGCCTAAACAGTCGCCTTGAGTAACTAGCAAATGTTGTTGTGAGACCAGCGGAGCCAGGTGAAGAGAGCCTCTCGGTGTGAGTCATTTGCTCCGTGGTACTCGAGATGATCATGAGTTGGGAGGACTGGGGACAGTATCATGTCCCCCAGCTCCATATCCCAAGGTGTTAACCTGATTGTGGCCACAGGGCACTGGAGCCTCAGAGCGACCCCTTCGCAAGCACACTGCCTGTTCCACTGACTCACTGGGCAAGTCCTGGAACGCAGCTTCTCCAGCCCTTCCTGCCCCTCTCCCAGGGCCAGAACCACTTGGTTCTGCTACCAAAAAAGCCTGAGGAGCAGCTGTGGCAAAAAGAATCCTCAGGAGGCAGCAGGACGAGTCCCCTTGATTCTAGTGAGCTGTGTCCTTCTGGCCTGTGAGGGAAGCAGGAAAGCAACGGAGAACTGACCTGAGGGGATGTTACTGCTTCCTTCCAGTAGGTGGCACAATTGTGCAGCTCAGCTGTCCCTTTCAAACTGGGCGGCTGTGCCTGGACAAAGCGAACGTGTTACAGCTTTATATGGATCACGCCTGGTTTTAGAGGACAGTTTAAGAGGCACTGGAATTGTCACCATAAACTTGGCTTCTGAAGGAAGTCACAGTTTGTGATGACAGTATCCGATAGGTTAACTCGGAGTCTGCTAGTCAGCTGCCTTCAAAGCCAGTAGTGGGTTATTCCCTCCACTTAACCTCTCCGCTGTGTGGCTCCCTGTTACATACGCTGCTCTCTCCCTGTTGCTCACGTGGGGCTTGCAAATTGCTGCCAACAGTTGATCGGTCTCTACTGCAGAGGCATATCCCCAATAAAAACTCCTAACAAAGGATATTACAGACAATTATACTTTGTGAAACTAATGACCGACTGACCTTCTTATTTTTCTCATCTTAATAACGTCCAGTGGAGGATAAAGTAGGCTACCATTGACTCCATCACATGAGGAGGAAGTTAAGGCACAGAGGGGCTGAGGTGCCCGGCTAGCCACAGCGTCTCCTGACGCAAGGCTAGCTCTGCTTGCCAGAATGGCCGCCCCCCTGGGTCAGCTGCCCCCTCTGCGGCTATTGCCCATTCAGAATTAAATGCGGAATTCACTTCTCCACCGAGAGTCACAGGTGCTGCAGACCGTGGTTTGTGGGGACTGTTGAGTGACTGGCTCGGGGATTCCCAGATCCTTCCGGGGGTCTGTCTCCATCCCAGACTTCTGCTTCAGACGAGCCAGCTCTGTGGAGGTTTTGTGGCTGAAGCGAGCGTCCGTTGTCATTTATAGAAATGCTGCTCTGCCCCACTGCTTGATGGAGGGAGTGTAATGTCACCAGAGCGGCCTCACCCTTGGGCTCAGCCTTGCCTTGCATGCTTATTTCCAGTTCAGCGTTCGTTCCTGAATTCAGCTCCGTAGGCCTGAGTTATGGAAAACTTTATTAAGATGAGACATATAATCTGAGCGGTCATCCGTGAGTTTCACAAAGTACACTTTTTATAGCATTCTTTGCTTGAGACTATACCTCAGGCAGGAGCTCTGGTGGCGTAGTGCCTAAGGCATTTGACTGCTAACCAGAA